GTAACAAAGTATTTGTACTTACAGTAGTTACTTTACAACTCTGCAACAAGCCAACCGGTTGTGATTACCAACATTTGTTTTAGTCTTCAACTTGAATTTCTTTTATTTGATGAAAGCTAACACCTCATTAAATCTGATTTAAAAAAAAACTGTAAGAAAATTTAGATTTGAGGAGCGGCCTTGTGCTCTGATTGGACGTGCTTCAGTTTTTGGTGGTGAAATGAAGAAATCATTTTTCTGATTAGACTCCCAATTAGAAAGCCAAGTCACAGAATATTGATCCATTTAYCAAACACTAAAACATAAAAACTAGATTGTGCTATTATTCAGAACTATGTATGTTGTGTGACATAAACTCCAACAACACAGGKAAACTATATGTTTCAAGCTTTGTTAAGCTGCAAACCCATCATCATAATCATCCTTTTTTACCTTTTTTTATTATTTTTTTATTTTATTTTTTTAATGTTCACTCAATTAATGTTCACTTGTGTTTCTAATCATGACAAAAAGCCTGGGACTCTATGTAACTAAAGCAATTTCAGAGCAAGGATTAAAATTCTGCCCACTCCTGATGGTGCAATAATGGAGACTGGGAAATAATTGGCATTGATTGAGCTAATGTTCCACTCTGACGGAGTCTGCAAAGACCAGGTGATGTCGTTTCACTGTATAATTGTGTTCCACACGTCGTAGAGCAAGAGACAGATTCAATAATTGAGCAAAAGCCAAATAAATGTGTTTTCTCCGATGACGATAAACAGGAGTTTTTCTCGGTATACTGCATGCATTTTGTTTGCCAGAACATGTGTTCCTGTCAATTTTTCCCCATGCCTTCTGAAGGCAGTACATGCAAATGCTTGGGTAAGCTTTTGTTCCAGTATCATGTGATGTTGYTTTTATGTAGGGGAAACTCTTGTTAATTAGCTAACTAGACACAAAAACATGACTGAAATGTAGGCATTTCATTTTGTATTGTTGTTATTTAGATTACTTTTTCAGTACTGTTTAATACAGCCATTTCTGAAAATCTCAACCCATTAAAACTCCCTGAACTGTGAGAAATTCACCAACATCGAATGGTGACAGTAGGAAGGCTGAAAAATGGCCCCTTTTTTAACGTTATGTTCTCGCTGGCTTCCAGAAGTCGACGTTCATTAATATGTAGCAAATTGATCCGGAAGGCGGAGAATCTTTCTGTTTAATCTTCAGAGAGATGGACCTGCTAAAGTGTCGAGCCGYCCTGCTGAAGACTGGGACTCTGTGGGCGAGGCTGTGTTGTCTAATCTCCCATAGCGCTTCTTTAAGCAGAATATTTTTCTCAAACAAACATAAAGCTGTCGCTGCACAGAATATTTATTTTACACAGGAGTTTAAAAAAAAACGCCAGTGAAGTTGAGTAGTTGAAAGTGTTTTAAAAGGTTCAAGTTTAGTTCTTTTTCACGTGGCATACTGAAGCATGAAATGAACAGTAAATAT